ATGATCTATTTATCGAGAAAGGCTATATATAGGGTATAAAACATCATGCTGGACAACAGGCGCGGGAGTTGTAAGCAATATTAAATGTGTTACAACTTTAGAGGATGTAATGGTGCCAATCAAAGTAAAAAACTCCGAAAATTAACGAAATCAGATTTAATACATTAATTAGATGTTACACGTATAATGGTGTTCTGGCAAGTGAAGGATGACATTAGAATTCTCTACTACGTGCCGAGCGCCTATGCAAATTTTATTAATTATGGTTTTTACAACTATTTGCTCTCTCAATTAGAACAGGCGTTTACGCCTGAACAAAATGCTTTACCCTAAACTAACTTTTACACGCGGCTTCGGTTTTTTCCGGGATAAAAAGTACCCTATTATTTAATCCGGACTTCTAACTTTACATCTGCAAAAATTCAAAGTAATCGGTTCAGTAGTTACGGCGTGAAAACGGAACAAACAAACAAACTCACTTTCCGATTTATAATATTAGTAAGGATATAGTAAGGAGTAAGGATATATTAGTAAGGATGACAAAGGACATAGACACAGATCATAAATTATGTGTCGCCAACACCATACAATTTCTGATTTATAGAAATACATTTCACTCATCTTGTATGTAGTTTTTATGTCTCAAGTGTACCGCTAGATAGTCACTGAGGCTTGATTAAATATCGACTTCTGTTTACGATTGAATACATAAGCTTTTAAATTAAATCGTTACTCAGTGGGATGTAACGTTATTGTTATATGACAGCGTATTATTTTATAACATTAGCTTTTAGTGCTATGATATAACAGTGAGCAGTAATGTGAATGTTAACAGCAAACATTCAAACATTAACAAACGTACATTTAATTTGTTTAATGTGTCTGGTTTATTTCATTTTAAAGTGGAGACGAAATGTGTTGTGTAATATGATAGGTATAAGTTTGAGAATTTTGGTTTGTAGCTTCAAAATTACTTAGATATTCTGGTAGGGATGCCTATAATTCTTTGTTTCCTGAAGGGTCCTGTACCTGTGTCGTCAAGCCTCAAGTGAATAGGTTGCTTTAGAGTCAACGTGCTTCATCGTAGACCGCATCATCACTCACCACCAGGCGAGATAGTGGTCAAACGTCGGCCCATCAAATATATATAAAAAATATTCTTGCCTAGAGTGCTCTCTAGGTTTAATAGGCCTCTGGGTATCGTTGACGGTAGTTAAGAAGTAAGTAAATCATTGTCATACTGGAAACTAATATTCGTGATCAGCAGTGATGGTCGGAGATCTGTAATGGATGGAAAGTGAGTGTGGCTCACGACTTGTATGTTACTACTATATTGTTTGTTTTGCTTCAGACTGCTTCTGTATCTGTGTGATGTAAATGTATTTACTGTGAGACTCTTTAAGGTATCGTTTAATAAGTAACTTTAAATACCAAGAGTCACAATGCCCTCCCTAAATGACATCGAGTATTCACACTACGGCAAGTATTGCTGCTTTTTGAATTTAGGTCAATATATAATCAATTAATGTCAAATTCCACCGTGTAATTCATTAAATATTATAGCTAGGCATGTAATTAAGACATAAATTGAGGTATACTATGAAACTGGTGGGGTCATGTCATAAGGTAGTAATTAAATTATTTTATGTCCTAAAATATATTATAAGGCTAAGTACCAAATGATAATATATTACGTGAAATATCCGGACCCTTAATTAAGTACATTGATAATTAATCTTTGTACTTAATTGTTTAATTCTGTCTTATTAAATAAATATTAAGTTTTTCTCGTCGAGTCTATGTAATGATGTAATGACATGTTTACCGATGAATGGCGGGTAAATGTTTCTTATCGATGATTGCTAGACTTTCAAACAATTAGGAAGCAATCAGCGCAGTCACGGAACATGATACGTTTCCTATCAAATGTCAGCTGCAGCTGGGGGCTGCCATCATAAGTAATGTGTAACCTTTCGTGTGCAGTGAGAGTAGACGGTCAAGTGTGATGTATTCCGCAGGTTCCTGTTCAACGGCGGCTACCTGAGCCCCGAGTCCGACTACTTCAACTGTGTTGTCAACATCCCTGAAGACATTCGTCGCGTCGACGAGCCTTCGGAGGCCGGCGAGCAGATGTCGGTGCTGGGAGGAGTACCAGGCAGGCTGTACGGGGCTGCCTCCACACTGGTGGGACCCGACGAGAAGTGCGGTCGCATCAACCCCGCGCTGGAGCCCGACGACGACGACCTGGACGACCCCAACGACGGGCCCACCCCACTGTTCGGCAGCAGCAGCGCGCCCCCGCCCGTGCAGCCCTTCGGCAAGCAAACGGCTTTCTGAGACGATAAGTACCCTTATTAGTTCTCTTAGCCACCGCCATGAGCCGCCACCGATGACGAGCTCGCTCCATAGCGGGGTTATATTTTCCGAAAATTTTACTATTTCTTACTTTTCATTTAAATTCGATAAGATCGTTACATCGAAGTATGGAACAGAAAACTTCAGTATTTTTGCAAATAACGACTACAATGTTATGCTCAAGACGATCGAAACGAAACATATCATCCGTATCTTCCTACAAACGAACCATTCTGTAAATGTATACATACACACACCTAGCTACATACACATATACGAACGAGTAATGACGACGCAAGCAAACTGATACAAATATATTTAATGAATTATATTATCGTGTAGTAATAATGCATAAAGCAATAGATGTATGTTTAATAGTTGATGTAAAAATGAATTAAGCTGAATTATTTTGTAGTGAAAATATAAAGAAATATATTACAAAGTGTTGCAACTCATACATATCAAGATGTGAATTATATTCGTTGTTAGAGAGTTTATATATGTATATTATATATAATTTATATTGATGACGATTCCTTATTTAAGTCAATTAATGTAGAGAGGAGCACAGAGTTTATGTGCTTATAGTGACACGGTGTAAGTGTGTGCGTGTAGTAGAGGAGGTGACCAACGTGTGACCAACCGGGCGGCATGTGAGTGGTGTGTGCTGTGTAGTATGGTGCAGTGCTTGTGCACGGCACGGTGCAGCGGTCGCCCCGACATTACATTATGTACGTTATAAACAAATACATTATTTATATCAGAAGTCCGCACCAACTATATAAAATATATTTACCTAGTGTAATCAATACGAGTTAGCGGCAGTATTATTTTATAAGCTTTGTTTTCTAGTGCAAATATTTACGTTGTATAGAGATATATATACGAGTATTATATATAATTGTTCAGAGCGGGCACCGTCGCGCTACGTGACGAGTGCACCCTATGTATTGTACGTGTATGTAGACCAAAATATAAAGGAATATAATAATTATTATGCAGACAGTATCATTCTATCCACGCGACGCTATATAAACAATACAACGGGCCTAAAATCTGCAGAATTATTAGAAAACGTAACAAAATGTCGAGTAACGTTATAAATAATAACGTTATATGTTACTGATTGTACCTCTGTATATAATATACAGGGACAAGTAATACGGTAATGAAAGAGCTTTCTAACACTACGACGCGGCACGAGCGTCGCTACTAGTAATGTAATAATTGGTATTTTTGAAATTATATGTGTATCGGTGTTCTCAGTATTGTCGTGTCTGCCCGGACTACCGGACGACTCATGTATCTCTGCGTGTTTATATGTCCATGTTTAAAGCTTGTTTCTAAGTATTCCAATAAAGTTGTACCTTGCCATTAGATGATACTGTCAACTTTGGCAACTTTTATCCTTTTGGGTGCAAACCGTACGTGTTTACTAAGTATAGACTAATGTTACATATCACTTTGTGTATATTATATTGTAGATAAATAGTTGCCACGTTTGATACCTTACAAAGCTTTCAAATTGTTTTTGATAACAAAGTTTACATGTTATGGAAATGTTTACGATACGTTGCGGATATATAAAGATATATGTATGTATATGATGTGATACAGCCTAACCTTTGCTAAGACTATGAACTTGAGACATATCATTCTGTATGTGACTTACGTAACTATACATATCATAGAGTTTAGTGTGGAACGTACATATCATAGAGTAAGTGTAGACATATGTATCGTTGTTGTTCTTCGGAGACGCTTCCTGATCTATATACAGACCTATATATATATAACTATATATATTGATGTTTTTATAGAGACATATTCGATGCATTTGTTGTACTTTTTGCAATCACAGCACAAATAAGTTTAGTATACACGTTTTTCTAGATTGATCTCTGTTTATTTTAGATTTCTTGTTGTTGTTTTTGAGAAGTCGTATATAAAACCTATTTATAACGAACTATAGTTCTGTTTCTGAACAATGTACTTAATTAGATGTTTATTAAGTTATGGTTAAGTAGCAGAGGGTCAGGGAGCGACTCCCCACTGTTAGCTAGTAGATATACCTACTATTGACTTATTCCTAGTTCTTGTTGAATATTTTGAAAATGAAAAAATGTGTAAAAATATGTGTAACGTTGTGAATTCCGCTGTCGCTCCGGCGACATCAAATAAAACATATAGCATGTTGACTTCACTTTATTTTGTGTACATCCTCTCAAGTCTATAGTCTCATTCGAACTATATACTTATTCCTTCTACTCCTATTCCTTTCTCTAGAAGGTACTCCTTCTCAACACTCATCTCCTGTGAATAAAATTAAAAGTAAGTATAGGTACTAAGTTCTAAATTCCTAGTACTGGATCATTGTTCACGGATTCATGTAACAAATACTTATTTATCGATAGGTGAAAGTACTTCATTATACCTACTGAATAAATCCATCGACATGATGTCTGGTAAGTTAGTATTTATTACAGTTGTAGTCGCAGTCGCAGCATTCTTGTCGAAGTTTGAATATTTCAAGATAAATCTAATTACCTAGGTATTTTAAAACCTTCTCAGGGACGTCGTTAATTAAAACAAAATGTTTTAATATTTACAAAAGTTTAATTTATACAAAAAGTATAATTATTCATTGAGAGCTTAAAACTAAATTTTTGTACAATTTCATTACATTAATTACAAATTAAGTTAATGTTAATACTTGAAGCGTCGCTTACTCGGTAAGCACCACTACACGAGTACGTAATACTTCGTCCTCCGATTTTAGATCACAATTTTGAGATTAGACAGAATATGTTCCATCTTACTAACGTGTATTGTTCTTCTTGACTTCAAAGATTAGTTAGTTAGTGTCTGTCCTGTCCAGTACTATAGCCTTCCACGCTCTACAGAGAGCTTTACACATTCCATCAAATTCGCCATTTTGTAATATCTAATACATACAGGGTTTTATTCAAAGCCTACATGCTGATTACATATAAGCCTAATTTGTGACATTCGCAACGTCATCAATACTGATGTGTGATAACTTAACTATTGACTATTGTATACGAGTACTAGGGGAGCAGCAGCCTGCAGGCTCTAGTACACGTAGCCACCGTTGGAGTCGTAGCTCTGGCTGATGGTAGCCGGCACTCCACCACCTCCTGATGAGTGACCGCCTCCAAAACCAGATGAGCCCCCAGATGAATATCCACCTCCTGAGGAGTATCCTCCAGAGCCACCAGCTGACGGGTATCCACCGCTTCCTCCAGAGGAGTATCCACCACCTCCGCCGGATGAGTAACCTCCTGAACTACCACCATGGCCGCCAGAACCGCCGCTAGAGTGGCCACCCCCGAAACCAGATCCTCCTGACGAATAACCACCGGAACCGCCCGAGGAGTATCCACCGGATCCGCCAGAGGAGTAGCCACCGCTTGAGCCATGGCCGCCGCCGCCACCGCTGCTAGGAGCACCATAACTGCTTGAAGGTGCTGCGGGTGCTCCGTAAGAACTGGATGGAGCTCCATAGCTTGACGAGGGCGCACTAGAGCCGAAACTGCTGCCTCCAAAACCGCTGCTTCCAAAACCACTGCTCCCAAAACCGCTGCTGCTGAAGCCTCCGCTGCTACCACCAGATGAGGGAGCTCCGTAGGAAGATGACGGGGGAGATGCTGGAGCACCATAGGACGAGGAGGGGGGAGCACCATAAGATGAGGATGGAGCGGCCGCGGGAGCACCGTACGATGAGGATGGAGGAGACGCTGGGGCACCGTAAGACGAGGACGGAGGAGACGCAGGGGCGCCATAAGAACTAGAAGGAGGAGAGGCTGGGGCACCGTAGGAGCTGGAAGGTGGAGATGGTGCACCGTATGAGCTAGAGGGGGCGGAAGAAGGTGCGCCGTAGGAGCTGGAAGGAGGAGAAGGAGCACCGTATGAGCTTGACGGGGCAGATGAGGGAGCACCGTATGAACTTGAAGGAGGAGACGGGGCGCCGTACGAGCTGGACGGTGGTGAGGGTGCTCCGTATGAGCTGGAGGGAGCGCCATATGAGCTCGAGGGTTTGGATGGTTTAGGAGCGCCATATGTTGTAGAAGGTCCAGTTGGTACTCCGTAGCTTGTCGCTGGAGGTCTTGCTGGGGCTCCATAAGAGCTTGAGGGTTTGGATGGAGGTGGGCCGTAGGAACTCGATGGCTTAGAGGGTGGAGGTCCGTAGGAGCTGGAAGGTTTGGATGGAGGAGGTCCGTAGCTTTGGGATGGGGGTCCGTAGCTTGATGATGGTGGGGGTCCGTAGCTGCTCGAGGGTTTCGGTGGTCCGTAGCTAGGTTTAGGAGGTCCATAACTGCTGGAAGGCCTGGGAGCACCGTATGACGATGAAGGTCTGCCACCTCCATGGCCTCCATGTCCACCGCCGCCGTGTCCACCGCCCCCGTGGCCGCCACCACCTCGCGAGGGAGGCAGGTATGACGAGCTCAGGGGCGCTGCGAACAAAGGGATTGGTGCTTTTATTTCGTATTGTAAGTAATACTTCGTAGAGCCTCTGTCATGAACACAACAATTCATGTACAGAATGAAAAATCTTGGCAAAGCATTTGTGTGTTTGTGCCAACATTCTTAGTTACAATAAAATATGTAAGTTGGTTTGATATAAACTCTTCATCAACATATCACAAGTCGAGATCATAAAACAAGTTTAGTGCTACGTGACATTCTTGGTTCATGACAGAGGCCAGGGTCTGTGTTAGTCGAGTGGTCGGTCGGTGGCTTACCTTCGCGCTTGTACGTTTTGCGGGGGGTGGCTGCAGCCAGTGACAGCAACACCAGCGCTGGTACCAGCTGGAACAATGAAAGAGGAACGTAAGGTACCATCAAGAGATTAACAACATTCAATAAAATTTCATGACGATAAAGAGCAGTCCCTATATTCTATTGCATTAGAATCTGTATTATCATTTATGTACAACTTTCCAGAAACCCGCATTAACATCGAAAGTAAAATTATAAAAAGACAATAATTATAGAATGCCAGGAGGTGTGAACACTCCAAGGAGAGTCATCAGTGGACGCGTGTCACTTTGTGCCACAAGACAATGTCCCCTCATTGTAACGAGGCGGTGTTGCCACACTTTCCCACCGCTCTGATCGCCCTGTTGCCACACCGCAATCTACTACTCCTCGCGAATTCGCGACAAATGACTCCACAGGCAATTGATTTAAATGACGCGGTTTTGTTGCCAAACAGAAGCAAACCTTGAAGGTTTAATTGCTCTCACTATCTTGTTAACATAAATTAGTGTGGTGAGCTCAGTGGCCGCTTTGTTACTGTCTTTTCTAGGCTTAGGATTAAACTGTCAAACACCGCGAGGACACCGGTGACCGCAACCTATTGTTCTTTAATTGTGTCTATATTGACGGTACTCGACGAGTTAAATCCATCGAGTCATACAATTAGTAGTTTTTTTCCAGCTGTAGGCTGAACTTGACCGATTTTAGGACTGATTAATAGATACTTAACAGTCAACGTGCTGACTTTGACATACCTAAGCGTAAGTAGTAAATAAACGGAAAAGTTTCACTTTTCGAAAACCTTGTTGTGTGTACATTTGGTCAATTTAAGCAACTGTGGACATAATTGGACCGCGTGCGTATGTAAACAATGTTCGGATTTCATTGAAAATGACTCATAATGTCGGAGTTAGTATGGTGATCACGCATGCGCGGTCGAAATCCTCCAGCCACAGATTATCTAGTAAGAAATGTGGTAGTCTGTCCACGTGCGCCGTAAACTTGAAGTACCTGCGTATGTACATACATTACATACCCAGTACATTAAGAACGTTGTGTTTGTACTTTCACGGACTCTGATGTTATCTCCCAACGTATGGATGTTTCAACTTTCAATTAATTTACATATAACTTCGTAATGATACGCATTCCTTGGATCGGGACTAAACCGTATTGCTTCATTCTTACGACAATACAATGTGTATTGGCATCGTAACGACGATCTTTAGGTATATAGGAAGGGCCGACCAGAGGGAACATTTTTTTGTTTTGCTTAATTGATTTCAACATGGTGGGTTTCTCCAATCTACTTGGAACAGATCAACCCATACCATCCTAATACCAGCATCCTAATATTAGCATGTTACACAATGCCCAGGAGACACATTCCTCGTGACTCGACACTTCATCAACATTCACATATATTGCAGTTTGTCGCAATCAAATTTTAAACTCCGGAAGATATTACCAGTGACATATCCGCGTCCATAGAAGTCATACTCATAATGACGTGATGACGTAACCCCTGGCGCTCATCTGCAATGACTATTGACCTCTGCGGAGAAAGCCGGGGGACATGTACTTACTCGCTTTTTGTTAAACATGTCATTTGTATGATGTAACCAGGTTAAGGCGCTTGAATCCAGGCCGGTTGTAGGATGGGTGACCGAGTTAGATGCAATATAGGACAACTTTTATGGGATAAGAAGTAGGTAGAGATGAAATGTGACACTTTTCGCTTTTTGCGTGTTATTTTAAGAACTAAGTGTGCTATTAGTGAGAATTTAGAAAATCAGAAATCCAATTACACTCAACTTTACTAGGAAATTTAATACTATAACCCTTAACCTTTTGTTGAACAGTTACGCTTGTGACCATTAAACCAACGAGACAAACCAGTATGCTAGTAATGTTCTTGGAGATGTGTCATTGCTGATAAAATCATGGACCATCTATATCATCAACCAAACAACAGTAGCGTCTCAGTCGATGATGGCAATATAGATTAACATTCTTCCTTAAGTACTGCCTTACGAGGACCATAGCTAACAGTGTCAGGGTCTGATGTGGCAACCATGGCGATTTGTATAGTTATGGGGACTTTACTGTAGTACGAGGTAATGTGGTACAGAAGGTCTGTTCTTGTAATTAAGATTCCATTATGTGCTTCACTGTGTAATAATGTAATCGTAAATTTAATTGGAGGGCGAAAGATTGAAGAATCTTTAGTAGTACACTTACGTACACTTTTAGGTCTTTGGTAGACTGCCAAGCAAGTGGTCTTGGATTCAATTCGGGGACAAAGGTAATAATTAAGTCTTCTAAACTAAAAGGCGTGACGTTGTTTCATGTTATGTAGGCTTATTTCCCTGGAAAACATTTGTTTCACCGCGAGAAACAATATGGCGAACAAATGATTTTTCTTTCTTTCATATATTTCCTATTGTGTCTCATATACCGGAAAACCAGAAGCTAATAAAGATGGAGATTAGGATACCCTTCGTAAATAATGAAGTCATGAGCACAGCAATTAATTAACGAAGGCTGAACACATAAATAATTAGTTACCGATGCGTGTAACTTGGCTTATCAGGTAAATAGGAGTTACTCCTCATGAGTGCACTCTCCGAGAGCTCTGCTTACACAACTGTGCGCTGTGGTGGATTATGCTAAATGCTGTGTTTCACAGCTTGTGAACAAACAGGTCAGAGCAACATTAAGACGTATGTGAGTTATTTAGACGAAATTAAACTTTCATTGACTTTTTTTGGACAAACAATAGAATATATTGTAGTGTGTTAGTTTTCTATTTACCTAGCTAATGTTTGTGTGTATGTAGCTACAATTTATTTACTAACAAAGACTACAGACAAAGCAGTAGCAGCGCGATAGTCGCCGCGTCGCAGGTCGCGAAATGCTGCTCATGAATATGAGCCTCTAGCATGGCTTGAAACTAGTCGAGTTCCTCGTCAATAATTACGTGAGTAAGCCGAAAACATAGTAATATATTTAGTATGTCTCACGAAAGTTATAATACAAATTTATTTACTTGTATTATTGTGGTTTTCAATTTGGTGCGAGTATAGTAACTCGATTGAATACAGTGTCTGATTGGTACTAATATATTGCGTTTTATTTTTAACTTTCATCAACTTATTAAACTGTAGTGATTTATTAATTGCTAGCTTCAATTTGTAACTTGCTTTCAAAAACAAATTCAAAAGTGCACTAAAATATTAATAGTAAAACTTAATATCAATGTACACTTTGCCAATATAATTCTGTAAATACAATTTGTCATTCTCAATCGCCCTTCAGAACAATTTCCAAAGGATTATATCAAATATTCCCAATAATACCAACACTTCATTAACTATATGAAACGTGTGACGTGTTTAACGTGACGTAAGTGTATGTGTTTGTGTATTGTCGACTTGACGTGACAGCGTGTCGTGTACGGGTACATTGTTATTGTAACTAAGTTGTGGCTACGAAACCAGCGGAGATGGGTTATTCAATTACTGCAGTACCTAAGTACATTTTTATGGTTATTATAATATAGTTTAAACAAATATGAATTTTAATGACTCCGTGATCGATAGCAATTGGTAAAATCAAGATCGAATCAATCAATTGTCATTCGGATACAGCCATACAGTTTATATATAAACCGTATCAAGCGTATGTGGGCGATTAAAGACAATACAAACTTGGAAGTATTTAAACAAATTCAACTGCAATACAAACTCAACCAAAGTTATCTTACAATCTGCATTACTGAATAAATAAAATATCAGTCACCCGCAGTGTTCGTAGCCCGCTAACCACTTCGTTTAACAGCTCATAATAAGTTAGAACACTATTGTTTTAGAGCACAACTTAATCACTTAAGTGCATCAAACTTAGCAGTCAGGTGCATTCACTACATTACGTGTGCTATCTCCACATCTAGACATTATACAAAGAAAGTGACATGATGTAATAATGCAACAATAAGCGTAATTATAACATACAATATACGTGAACATGGCTGAATTAATATACGACGATGATATCATAGCTAGCGGTGTCCGTTTCAACTTCACGTTGAGTCTGGTAATAGAAATTTCTGCGAATAGTTACTTAGAGTGACTATGGAACTGTTGCATCTTCATAAATCTGTCAAACAGTCGTAATTGGTTGCAAAGATATCGCTATGACAATCGCTACTGATAGCTGTGGATAGGACCCTAGTATACGACATATAATAGGCTTTTTATGTGGAATTAAGCCATCAAAGATGTTATATTTGATTTCAAATTTAAGTTTACCATTTCTAAAAATTCTAAGTATAAACTCCACTGAAGGTTATAAGAAAATCTTTAAGAGTGTCACTCTCAGTACCGCACCTGCATTAGACACCGTGTTTGATCCAAACTGAGTTTGTCATACACTTCCCACCGCTACAAAGTCACGGAAATGAGTTCCACTTACATCTGCACTCGTTGCTCCCTCACTGGAGGAATATCGAACATCTTGACGTTTATTTGATGTCAGTCTTTGAGGTTTAGCATTCAGAGGGTAGGGTTGTCTTTTTAAAGGTTTTGATTAATCCAATATTAGTTACAAGGAAGGTTAAATCAGGTGGACCCTCCTCTCGATTTTTAAACATTTTTATTACATGATTATGGATTGGAACCGAAGGTTTTCTATCATAAAATGATAACTGTAACTTCCTATCCTGTAGCTGTATTAAAATAAATGCATTAGCGATAATGGTATCAAGTTTGGAAACCCTAAACGTCTCCATTTGTACGTCACGAGTCTCACGGGAACTGTGCGCGGGAACCATAGCACGCGACAATGCGATGTGCAACCCGCGCCATATTGTTCATAGAAATGGTGCGAATACCACGGACTGGCCCAACACAGGCAGAGAGGAGCTGCTTGCAACACACAGGATCTTGGGCAACTTCATTCAGATCCCTTTATGACTATCTCAGATGGGATTTTTAATTCGCAATTGTTTTAACTATGAGCGTATTTCTTGTTGGTTTGAAATATGGGAATTA